ATTATTCAATGTGTGCTGAACAGAAAAGCCGATGTCTGTTCACATTCTGAAACATATCAACCTGATGAGTCGAGAAGGTGAGATAGCGTGGCCTAGTCATACGCATCTAAGTAAGGCACTTAGAGATGATTTGATAATGATAAAATAATAGTGATTGTAAAAGAAGATATGAATTCGAATTTGAAAAATTACTTTCAAAAAGAATAAAAATATTTTTTAAAATACAGAGATATGAGAGGGAGGTGCCAGCTCAGGTGTCGTCCTCGTCACATGACCTAATTTCAAAATTAGTAGGTCCGTCGCCCAAATACCTCGTATTGCTTCTAGAGCGGCATTAATAAAAACTAAACAAAATTAAACAACAGAACAGAGAGTTCAATTAAAAAAAATGATACATCTTGGCAGCGGTGGGATTCGAACCCACGCCTCGAAAGACTGGTGCCTAAAACCAGCGCCTTAGACCACTCGGCCACGCTACCTCGGCATATCCATCCATCAGAAGCATTTGTTCAGTGAAGCAGCTGTTGAAGTGCTTTCTGAATGATAAATTAAACAGAAATGCAGGAGCGTTATTTAATACAGCAACTGAATGAATTCAGAAATAGCAATAAATCTTAAAAGAATATTTTTGAAATTATTATTGTTATACCAGTATAAATATATAATATATGCATATCAAATAATGTAAATCATTCAAAGAATAGATATGTTTCATAATAAGAACGACATTGACGATTCTTTTCAGTCGAACAATGACTAATGTAAACCTTACTTATCCAATACAAAAGAAACTAAAAGTCATACGGTTCTAAGTAAGGGAATTTGACATAAGGTGATCATGATAAAATAATAGTGATTGAAAAGAAGATACGAAATCGAAGTTGCAGAAATTCTTCATACGGGAAAATAGTGTTTGTTACAGAACAGAGAGTAAAATAATTAAAATGACCCTTCTTGGCCGCGGAGCGATTCCAAACTTCGCTCGGATAGACTGGTGCCTAAAACCAGCCCTTAGACCTCTAGGCTACGCTACCTCACCTTCTCGATTCATTGGATTAGATATGTTCCAAAATGTGAGCAGACATCGGCTGTTCTGTTCAGCCACACATTGAATAAAGGGAAAAAAACTCATCAGAAATTAAAAGTCATACGCATCTACTTAAGGCACTTAGAGATGATTTGATAATGATAAAATAATAGTGATTGTAAAAGAAGATATGAATTCGAATTTGAAAACTTACTTTCAAAAAGAATAAAAATATTTTTTAAAATACAGAGATATGAGAGGGAGGTGCCAGCTCAGGTGTCGTCCTCGTCACATGACCTAAGTTCAAAATTGGTAGGTCCGTCGCCCAAATACCTCGTATTGCTTCTAGAGAGGCATTAATAAAAACTAAACAAAATTAAACAACAGAACAGGGAGTTCATTTAAAAAAAATGATACATCTTGGCAGCGGTGGGATTCGAACCCACGCCTCGAAAGACTGGTGCCTAAAACCAGCGCCTTAGACCACTCGGCTACACTACCTCGGCATACCCATCCATCAGAAGCATTTGTTCAGTGAAGCAGCTGTTGAAGAGCTTTCTGAATGATAAATTAAACAGAAATGCAGGAGCGTTATTTAATACAGCAACTGAAAAAAAAAAATTTCTGAAATTGAGAAATAGCAATAAATCTTAAAAGAATATTTTTGAAATTATTATTGTTATACCAGTATAAATATATAATATATGCATATCAAATAATGTAAATCATTCACAGAATAGATATGTTTGATAATAAGAACGACATTGACGATTCTTTTCAGTCGTACAATGACTAATGTAAACCTTACTTATCCAATACAAAAGAAACTAAAAGTCATACGGTTCTAAGTAAGGGACTTTGACATAAGGTGATCATGATAAAATAATAGTGATTGAAAAGAAGATACGAAATCGAAGTTGCAGAAATTCTTCAAACTGAAAAACCGAACAGAGAGTTAAATAATTAAAATGTCCCATCTTAGCAGCGGTGGGATTCTAAACTTCGTCTGGAAACACTGATGCCTAAAACTACCGCCTTAGACCACTATTCCACTCTTATCTCACCTTCTCGATTCATCGGAGTTGATATGTTTCAGAATGTGAACAGACATCGGCTTTTCTGTTCAGCCACACATTGAATAATGTGAACCTTACTCATCAAAATCAACAGAAATTAAAAGTCATACGCATCTAAGTAAGGCACTTAGAGATGATTTGATAATGATAAAATAATAGTGATATAGAAGAAGATTGAATTTGAAAATTACTTTCAAAAAGAATAAAAGTATTTTTAAAATACAGAATATGAGAGGAGGTGCCAGCTCAGGTGTCGTCCTCAGCTCACGGAAGCCTAAGTTCAAAATAGCTAGGTCCTCGCCTAAATACCTCGTATTGCTAGAGCGGCATAATAAAAACTAAACAAAATTAAACAACAGAACAGAGAGTTCAGTGCATGATACATCTTGGCAGCGTGGGATTCAGACCCACCTCGAACTGGTGCCTAAAACCAGCGCCTTGACCACTCGGCCACGCTACCTCCATATCCATCCAATCAAACGTATTGTTCAGATGAAGCACCTGTTGAAGTGCTTCTGAATGATAAATTAAACAGAGAAATGCAGAGCGTTATTTAATGCACCTGAAGATAATAAAATAATTAGAAAATCTTAAAGAATATTTTAAAAATTATTATGTTATATCCGATTATAAATACTTATAATATAGCACTATAAAATGTAAATCATCACGAATAGATATGTTTGATAATAGAACGACATCTGACGATTCTTTTACGTCATACAATGACTAATATCTATACTCATCAATACAAAAAACTAAAATTTCATACAGTTCTAAGTAAGGGACTTGAAATAAGGTGATCATGAAGCTAAACCAATGATGATTGTTAAGAACTACGAAATCAAAAGTTGCAGAATTGCTTCAAATTGAAAAACCGAGACAGAGAGTTAAATAATTAATGTTACCCATCTTAGCAGCGTTTGGGATTCAAACTTCGTCTGGAAACAGAGTGCCCACAAACTTCCACTATGGACCACTAGCTCACGTCTATCTCTCACCTTCTCGACTCACTCAGGTTGATCCATGTTTCAGGAAATGTGAACAGACATCAGACTTTTCTGTTCAGCCACATGAGATAATGGAAGAATGACCATAGAAAATAATAATGAGTCATACGCACTCTGTAGGCACATAGAGATGAAACAATACGTAACTT